TTTACGTCTATGTGCTGCACGAGTCATCCTTTGCTCTTTAACCTCTGTTTGACATTGCCATTCCACTTGTGACTTCCCAGCAGGAATCAAACCTAGCCCTCCAGATTGCTGTTCCGCCTCTTTGCCATCCAAAGATTTCTGAATCATAGGTAAAGATGAGCCTGCTCCCAGGACCGTATTATAAAACTCCTTAGCTTTGGCAACCGTATTAAGCCTATAACGCATCCCCGCATGGCTCAAAACAATACCCATAGGAATCTCCCATCTGAATGACATCGATCTTGCTTTGAGTTCATTAGCTAAAAAAGCAAAGTCTTTCCTGTTTCTTAAAATTTTGGATGGAATTTCCTTTAAGATAATGACATCTTGGGCAGCAATCTGAAATCTCTTATTGTAATAAGCTTGTAAGATTTCATTACGCAGAGACCTCTTAGAAAAATAGATCACCACATCTCTTGGCAAATTCTTTTGTTTCGCAATCCAAGAATTGACTCTGTAGACTTTTTCCACTTCTCTGCGTAATTCATCTTTATCCATATTCAAAACAAGAACTAGATCATTAAGCACCATCTGTGTCAGGTCTTGATTCAAATCTTCTTTCAAGCCCCTGATTCTCAAGGCATACTCCATTTCCCTGTACTGGGACATGAGAATATCCTCTTGTGAAGTTTCCACCTTTCTTTCCATATCCTGAAATTTATCTTCAATAAATTCAACTTTATCAGCGACCTCCTCCACTCTGGAATCCAATTTCACGACCACTGAAGCCAAGCCTGACAAAGCTGCTACTATGTCTTGTCTCAAAATGGTGTTATTATCTTCTAACAGCTGCTTCATCTCCTCTTTACTTTCAGTTTTATTCTGCTTAAGGAGGTCTCTCATCTCCTCCTTAGTTTCAGATTTAATCTGTTTAATCTGTTTAAGAAGATCCTTCATTTCCTCTCTGCTTTCAGATTTACTCTGTTCAAGAAGTTGCTTCATTTCATCTCTAATTTGGGATACAGCATTTCCCATTATATCTTTAATCTCTTGTGCAGATGAACCTGGCAGAGGAGGAGAGGGTGGAAGCAATACTGATGGTGTAGGTTTAAGTTGTTGTTGTACAGTTAAAGTTGTAGGAGAGGAAACCACTTTAGAAAGTATAGAGGCCGGTTGCCTCTTTGAAGCCATTTTTCAAAGTGTTCTTCTCTCTCTCTTTCCTCTTGAAAGGAAAGAGGAGACAAAAAAAAGAAAAAAAAATATTAAAGTTCTTAAAGTTTAAAAAAAGCCAAGAAAAGTATCCAAAACACAATCAAAAAATAAAGGAGAAAATTAGAAGCAGTAAATGTATTCATTTAAGTCCAAATTATCTTCCCAGGGAAAAAAAAATAAAGAACAAAAGAACAAAGAACAAAGTACTTTCAAAATGCCATCTTACTTTCACTTTCCGTACCAGCAAAAAAGAAACAAAAGAATCAGAGTCAACTAAAAAGAAAAATTTAAAATAAAATACTAAACTAAAAAGAAATCCTTTAAACTGCTCTGTCCGCTTTAAAAATTACTCACCAGAAGACTTTAAACACGGAGCTGGTAGCGGCGTTTCCTTTTGCCTCCGAAGAGGCAAAAACAGCTGGGAGGCGGAGAAAGCAGGAACTCCGAGGGAACGCTCTTTCTGTCCCCTCAAAAGAAAAATCCAGAGGGGGCTAAGAGGTTCTACCTCTATTCTTGCAATCTCTGCCCCTTCCCTTCGCCCGGGAAGGGGATTCCGAGCCGCAGGCCAGCTGATTTTCGCTGCACACCGCGGATCTAACACCGTCCCAGGAGGACGGCTACAAGGCAGCCGCCATCAACGTCGCTCCCCGGTGGAAGCTCTCCAATTGTACTCTTCAGATGTATTGCAACTTTCTCTTGCTGACTGGGCAGGATCTGTTTCCTGTCATATTCCCTCTGACCCTCGCTTCCAACTCCTTAATAATGTTTCAATTTCTCTGCATTCTCCCATTTCCTCCTCTCCCATTCCTAACGCTGTCACCCTGTATGTTGATGGCAGCAAGACTTATGGTTCATGTGTATGGAAGGAGGGTGAACAATGGCACACAAAAATTACTCCTCCTCAAACTTCTGCTCAGCGTGCTGAACTTGCTGCTACAATATTGGCTTTACAAACTTTTTCTTCTGAACCTTTTAATCTTATTTTAGATAGTCTTTATGTATATAAAGTTCTCACCTCTTTATCTGACTCATATGTGTCACCCTCATTGGATGACTCTCTCCTCAGTCTATTTCTCACACTCCAATCCCTTCTTCATTCCCGCTCTACTTGTTTTTTTCCTGCTCATATTAGACGTCACCAACCTTTCCCTGGTATTATCTCCGAAGGCAATGCCAAGGCGGATGCTGCCGCTTCGGCCGCCTCGACTCACCAGGACGTTTCTGTCCTTGTGTTATCTCCCATAACCCCATGGGACAGCCATTCATATTTTCATCAAAATAAGAAGGCTTTAATGAAACAATTTTCTTTAATGGATACGGAGGCTGCGGCTATCATACAACGATATCCCACCTGCAGCCTCTAAGCACACTCTGTTCCTCAAGGGGTCAACCCAAGAGGGACGCAGAGCTGTCAACTTTGGCAAATGGATGTTACTCAATATTTGCCATTTGCCCCCTGAAATATTTGCATGTTTCCATTGACACCTATTCAGGTTTTATTATGGCCACCCCCCAAAGGGGTGAGTCTGCTAAACATCTTATTAATCATTGTATTCGTACCTTTTCTATCCTGGGCAATCCAAAAGAAATTATGCATGCAAAAAAGAAAGGGGAAAATATCCCCGACTTGCCTGGGATACAAAACACTCTTAATCTTGTACTTTTTACCTTAAACTTTTTGAATGTTTCTGGCACCCCTGGCTCAACTGCCGCAAGCAGGCATTTTTCTGCTTCTCCCACAGATTCTTCACGCCCCCAGGTATACTATCGACGTTTGCCTGATCCCACCTGGAAAGGGCCTGCCTCCCTCATTACCTGGGGTCGAGGCTATGCTGCAATAGACGACCATGGCGAGATCATTTGGACTCCAGCTCGTTGTGTTCGTCCTTATATGGCTCAACGTACACCACCTCAGCCAGGCATATGAGGATCAGGGACTGTGGGCTTTTAATGCTTTTGTACGGGATGCCAGGCGCACTGCTCTTACACTTAACAACACGAACTGTTGGATCTGCATGCAAATTCCTGGTGACAGTCGTGGTGGCCTTATTTTCCATGCCATCCCGTTCAATGAAACAGGATGGAAGCAGCTGTGGACATAACTACAGAGACATTGAATATGACATATGCTGTGGGCGCTCGTATAATGGAACCTGCCAGATTTTGTTTTTATAGCACAGGACTATTCCGTACTGCCATTTATTTGGGAACTTATAGTAATTGTCAACAAGTTATTATATGGAATTCAGCAAAAAAATGCATATCCATCAAAAACAACCTTACTAAGATAAATGACACTTATCAAAGCAATCAATGGACAAACATCAGTACCTACATGGCTTGCCTTGACATGGAATCCATAATAACATTTGCTAATGAGTCTCACCAGGGTTATTATGAGTTACCCGATATGTGGCTACTATGTGGCCGTAGAGCCTATCGCCAGGTGCCTAAGGATTGGAAAGGCACCTGTACACTGGGCCTTTTGACTCCTGCTGTATATGCCTTGCCTCATCTCCCTGATGGACGCCTATGGAACAAACGTGATACTGGCTCCTCAGATCCACCCCTAACATTGGTTGGTAGTTTAGAGACTCAAATCAGCAGAGGAATTCTACCCAGTCTAGGAGTTGCCATGAACTATAGGGACCTTCATTTGCTTAATAATTGGACTGTTCATATGTTTAATGAAACAATCAACAGCATTAAAATGATTAATCAAGAAATGGGGGAAATAAGGGAAGTAGTTTTGCAAAATCAGTATGCTTTAGATATTATTTTAGCAGCAAAAGGCGGTGTGTGTGCTTTAATTCATTCTCATTGTTGTATGTATATACATGATTTTCAACCTAATATTTCTGCTACAGCCAGGAAAATGGAATCTTTGCTCCAAAATAATCCCTTACGCAGCGATGGATCAGGCACCGTGGATATTTGGGGTGCCCTTTGGTCCTGGCTACCAGATGGATCCTGGCTACAATCTTTGATTTCTATTATAGTAACCATTTTGATATTATTTGTATTGCTATGTTGTTGCATTCAATATATTCCCTCCCTCCTGCAAATGTGCAAAAATGTTACGCCCTCCACTAGGAAGGACACCTTAATCAGTGAATCAAGATCCCTTCTGGAACTGGAAGTGAGTAACATTAAAGAAAAAACAGAAAAGGAGGAGATGTGGGATTAATTGCACAAATATGTCCATGGGTATCTGCCCATGGACATCTCCCACAAGGTCCTTGAGATAACAAACGGACCACTCTAGACACAGGATGCATTCATCAACCATTTGGACAGACTCTGATAAGAACACCTGCAGTAGCCTTGCATCTGGAAAGTGTCTGTTATTTGATACATTGTAACCACCCCTATATACGTCTTTTGCTTACGCTGTGTGATGTAAAAACCTTAGTAACAATAAAATAGGGTGCAAGAGTCAGCTCTGGGCTCCCATCCCGAGATACCTGTGTGCGTGTCTCATTCTCCATGGGAGACCACCTCACTGCATCCTTGGTTCTCGGCATTAATGCTGCCATTATTACTGTCTCCACAAGCAGCAAGTCTTCATGTTTATATTCAGACTATGGCTTCCCCTTCAATCTGCTCTTGCTTCTGGACAGTAACGAGCCATCACTAGCAGGCTGAGAAGTTCAGTTATGGCTGACAATTTGCTACATCATGATTTGACTACTCCAATTCTATTGTTTTCATTCCTAACACTATATAGGACAAGAAATGGTTGCTTCTATTTCTGTTTTTCCATACATGATATACAATTTCCATACATCTGACAAATCTAAATCCAGTCAATCTGTGCAATTCGTTTATATTCAATCTATTATAATTCTTGCATTCAGAATAAATATTCCAGACCTTTAATCTTTAGTCCAGATTCAAAGTGGGCCCAGTGGAGTATTTGCATTCACAATTCTCCTTAACTTTTAAACCAAATTAGAATAAGGGTCTCTGAAGTACCTCTAAAATATTCAACTTATGACAAATGTGGTGGGAATCCTTTTCTTTATAAAAAAAACCATTTTCTCTAACATTCAGATCTTGCCAAAGCATTTTTTCTGACTATTGTAAACAGCAAATGGCATTCCCAAATACCAGCATTAAGAATCATCATATCCCAAATGAGACAAATTAAGGATCATAATACTCCAAATCAACCAACAGACAAGATATTTTAGCATATTAGGAAGAAAATCCCACAAATTGCTTTCCCAATGTGTAGGAAGAAATAAAAAAAGCATGCCTCAATTGAACTATTGGTAAGCCCATGCCTCCCAAAATTGTGTAGAACAAGTGGAGAGGCCTCCAAGAGGGGTGGTGGGGATTTGCTTCTCCTGCCGATGAACAGCTGATTTTGCTGCCAAGCAAGATTCTTTGGCACCTGACTCCCTAGATTGAAAGGGAACAGCAAGAATGACCCAAGACAAGTATCAGACAACCAAGAACAGTCCTGAGAAGAGGACTCCTGGAGTTTGCAATTCCTGGCAGGAGTGATCAGAGAGTTTTCATCTTTCCTTAACACCTTTACTGAGGGGTGTTGTTTTTTTGGGGTGGTGGTGGTGAGTGAACTACTTTCCTTTTCAGTGTGGAAGCTAAGGGCAACTTTTTGAGCAGTGATACTGACCAGATTGGATTTACATCTGTATCAGATTTCATTACAGGGTTTAACTCTTAAAAAGCTTTGGTCTGGATTTTTTTAAAAAAAAAAATTGATGGAATGTTTCCTTTTTTTTCTTCATATATTCATTTTGAGAAATATTTTAATGTTTTCTGGCCATTTTGTTACAGTGCATGTAACCTTTTTGTCTTTGAAAGGAATTGTGTAAGCTCAGATGTAGGAGAGTCTGCTCTATATTAAAAATGCAAACAATGCATCAGTTTAAAGATAAAACCTGGTGATTTGCCTTCGAAAAAAATGTTTTTTTAATCTACAAGTTCAAATTGAAAACTTTGGTTAAAAAGCTTGATAAAATTTCCTGGGTCTTAAATCAACCTAAAGAGGATACCCAGATGCAAACAATTACAGCCAAGCCAGACTTGCAATTAGATGGACTGGAATCTAAGTCCTTGCTGATAGATTTGAAGAAAGGGCAGTTTGGCTAGAAAGCAGAAGGCTTGTTGCAGAAATTTGAAGGAGATCTGGATTTTACAGACTTAAAATTGACAGATTTGATGAGTGATGAACTGAACTCTTTTAAGAAGATAGAGTTATCATACCCTATTGGTAAACATTTGAACTTTCTGGGCAAGAGGAAACTGTGTTATCAAGGAGAATTATTCAACAATGGATATTGCTGAGATATTTACAACAGAGACTTATGAACTTTGGAAATGAGATGCAATTAGAGGGAAAGTTCCCAATGAAACAATAAGGAAAGTTTTCACTATTAAGAACCAAATGAGAGTATTTGACCCTGGACTCCAGAGATAATGATCAGGCTGATTTGTGGTAAATAAGAAAACATGGAGTAAATTACAATAACAGATTGTTAACACAGTACTTTGAACTTTAACTTTGCTATTGTTTAATCTGTTAACTATTTTTCTTTTCATCTATGTAATGTGTGACAGCTCAGTTGGGTTGCAAATAGATGTACAAGCTTATAAATTTTGGACCTGCTTTGCAAAAGGGGAATCTATTATTGTTGCAATAGATTTGTCAGTGTTCAACTGGGGGGAGGGGGGACAATATGTGTCTTTGTCTCTATGGAGATTCTCAGTCATCCAGGTCATAGTTGTCCCAAAGATGCTTTTTCACGAGGCAACCAGACTTTCTTGTTTTTCTTTGAAGATGTTTTGCTTCTCATCCAACAAACTTCTTCAGCTCTCTTCAGTTTGTTTTGCCTTGTTGCTGTACTGCTGTGCAGTTGATGCTTCCTTTCATTGTTGTATTGCTCTTTTATGTTCAACTACTATACTTTCCGCAGAGACAAAGTTGTAGAAAGAAACAAAAAATATTGTGAAACCCAATAACTCTCACCTTTTCAATTGGTCAGTCATTTGTACTTGAAGCAGCAATGGACTCGAAGAAGTGCAGTCATCTGCACAATAGCCGTGGTGGTGTGCTGGATAGAATGCAGTACTGCAAGCTAACTCACTGCTCACGCCAGGAGTTTGATTCTGAGCGACTCAAGGTTGATTACCCTTCCATCCATCTGAGGTCGGTAAAATGAGGACCCAGATTGTTGGAGGCAATATACTGACTCTGTAAACTGCTTAGAGAGGGCTGTAAGGCACTGTGAAGCAGTATATAAGTCTAAGTGCTATTACTATTGCTATCTAAATGCATGGGGAAATCACAAGCATAGAACAATTTGAAATTAAAGGCTTGGGCTCTACAATTAAGCTGCTGTTGGACAATTATTGCATGAAATATTAAGGTGTAACTTATTAGCAGAGCTTTCTTGGCTATATTTTACTTTCTGAGATACGGGAACACATGACTCCATGACAGGTTGTGATGCATTCATCTGACAAATAGTGAAAGATGAGTTTTTAAGAATTTACAAGTAATTAAAGTTAAAAATAAGAATAGTTTTTAGCAAAGTGGAGAGACTGATTATGATTAAAAAAAAGCTGTAGTATGCATTATGCTCCTGGTGGTTTTGAACAGTCACGAATGTCTTACGGCATTCTTGGTATCAACTCCTGCAATAATTTTTCAGGATCAGTTGAGTTTCTTTAAAATGAGGTATATTCCATTTTCAGATCTGAGCACAACCTGAGAGAGTGGAATCGGAGTTTTTTCTGGGTCGGGCATTAGTTCAAAGCGAAGCAGCGTTAGAGCAAGTGCTATTTTTAGTTCATTCATGGCAAATTGCTGTCCGATGCAATTCCTAACAAGAAAGAGAAACCCCTTGTGTTATACTCAACATAACAAGAGGTCGGTTGATATGCAGAACAAGGTAGGGTAGGATTTGTTTTTTCCTATCCAATTAGCTACCAGTTAGTATGCATGTAAATTAAATATAGAGTGTAATGAAAAGTGCAAACATTTATAGATATCTTAAAAACTGAAAACTTGAGGACAATGTATTGAATCAATTAAATCAAGGTGCGAATGCATGAACTATTTCTCTTCAGTGAAAGCATTTAATTTATAGGGGCTGAATTTAACTGAAGTAACTAAGCAGGAAAGCACCGTAAGAAATTAAATATGAGTATCATATTTAAATTATACCCTGTTTTCAACCTTTGGCTGGGATTTTCCATCTTACACAGGCTTGTAAATGCAATGTTGGATGCTAGAATACACAACCGCTGTTACAGGATCTGTCCTTCTAAATAGGAAAACATTTTCACATTTAATTTAAAAAAACAGCTGTGTCGATTGCATAGCTTTGGGGGATGATTATCTTGCTTATGTAACATACTGGTATCTGTCTGTCATTCTTAGCTGTAAGAACCTTTCATAAGATTTTTAAAAGACCACAAATCATAGGGATAGGCATAGAGCAGCTATTCTCACCCTTGGCAACTTTAAGATATGTGGACTTCAACTCTCAGAATTTGCATCCAGCTGTCCAAACAAGTTGCCAAGGATGAGAAACATTGACAGGAAAGTTTATTTTTAAACAAATGGTCTAAAAAATAGATCATAGACTCACCTTGATCCAGCTGCAAAAGGAATAAATGCATGAGAATGTCTTTCAGAGGCATTCTCTGATGAAAACCTCATAGGATCAAACTCCTGAAATAAGAAAACAACGAAAATTGGGGAAAAAATAAAAAAGTGAATCTGCTATGCTTACAACCCTTTTTCTAATTACAGTACTTGTGCTATTATAAAGCTGTTGGAGCATCTCAGAATAACTTTGCACTTTTCTCTGAAAAATATAGTGAGTCAATACAATATCCTAAAGGTGATAAATGGGATTTCCTGCACTATAGAGTATCTTATAAAAGTCTTGATAAAGTGTGACAATTTTTATTTACAACAGTTAGTCCCCTTTATCACTGTCATCATTTGATAAAAAAAAAAACCTACTTACCAAAGGCTCTGGCCAAATGCTGGGGTTTTTATGAAGAGAATAAATGTCAACTGCAACTATAATGTCTATAAAATAAAGAACCACAGTGATAAAAACATTGTCAGTGGTTGAAACAAGATCAACCAGACAGGATGAGAAGAATTCTGCAGCCAATTCTATCCAGCAAGAGAAATTTGGCATTTACATTTTTCAAAGAAAATGTTCATAGGCACTGTTAAGCAAACTGCTCACATTTTTATTAATTTAAGGATCTGTTCAATGGATTTCTCTTGTGTTACGGTAAGTAAGTAATCCTACATATAAAAGTATAAATACTTATATATTCAATAACTAGTTTGAAGATGAAAAAGAATTCCATATCTGACAACAGGAAGAGGGGGGATCCTGATCCCAGTTAAGTATCCAAATCACTCTTAAATATATCCAATTTCATTCCAGCTGCAAGTGGGCAATAGTTTATCTTGACCTTTGGCATAACTATGAAGTTACCATTAAGAAGAGTCTAAGTATTTTGTAGAAAATAAACTCAAATAATGTTGTATAATCAGAACCATAACTTTAGATGATGGTGAAGAATCAAAGTCAACTCCTAGTACATTCACACAGTTTCTTGACAACAATATAGACATGGTTTGCTACTGTCTTGTTCTAGGATGTTTTGTCAAGCTCCCAAGTTAAACTACAGCCCAAAATTTTCTAATAATCTCTCATCCAAGATCTTACTTTGCTTAGTTTTTCTAGAAATCTGGCAAAGTTGCTATGACTTGGCAGTTTGTTTTGCAAACTTCCAATTAGTAATTATCTAATGCCTGAAAAATTGACTTAGGTTCTTGGAACAAAGGTATCAGAGAACTTCAATTAATTCAGATGGTTGAAGTTGAGTGTTTTTAATAATTCTGTTATAATGGCAATTGCTTATTCTAACTAGAGTAACTCCTTAGATAGATGTGCTATCAGTATAGTTTTATAGACACAATGCAATGTTTAATTTATATAATTTCAGAACGCTTGGTGCAATTTTGAACTACTTTGGTGCGGTTTAAACAGGCAAAGATTACATTCAAGTGAATTCTAAATGTTAACTATCATGGACTACTTTGCATTTTACTACAGAATACAGTATGACTGTATTAAAATTTCTTAACTGTATCTCCTAGAAGGTAAAGAGGAAGTTTGGAAGGAAAGATTTTGTCCAAATCAGATTGTGTCAAACATTTTATCATTATTACTGTGATGTTACCCTTTTTTCAATCATATTTATATTCATCCAACACTGAGCAGCACAAAATGGAATGAAAGTAACATTTTTGTTTTTAATAAAGAAATTGCAAACCTTCAGGCAAAGTGCGTCCATCAAAGAAGGTAATAGGTTTGCTGAGCTTTCGGAACACCACTGGAACTGGAGAGTATATACGAAGACTCTCTTTTATGCACATGGTGCAATAGGTCATCTTACCAAGATCATCCCTGAAAGTTATAGAGAAAAACAATTAATCTTTCTATTAGTTAACTGCTAGGTGCTAAAGGAGGGTATCACCTGGAACTAAATCAAGCAATTTTATTATTTACTTACACTTAACATTGACCCCAATGTGTCGTGGTATCACTTTTTTCTTCCACTTGTGACAATTGCTTTCCTCTGATCCCCAGGACATGAACAAGGCAAGCTTAATTTACTTTTAACTGCAATGATGTAAAATAGTGTTGCCCCCTCCCCCTCCTCTGTTGCCATTCTATACCATTCAAGGGCAGCTTCAATGTGCATAAAAGGTACTAGGTTTTGTTATCTATTATATTGGTGGAAGGTAACTGCAAGAAGTGGAAGCAGGGATTGACATGGATTGACAATGGGGACAGTGGTTTCAATTCTGGCATAGTTTTCTGCTGATTCAAGGATGGGTATATAGTGCTTCAATTCAGTAATGGGCAAAGTCTTTTAGCTTTTGATGGCTAAGGTCATAAGGCAGAGGATCAAAGATTCAAACCAGTTTCCCCAGAATCCCTCTGAGTGTTTACATCCCACTTCTACCTTCTGTCTTGGTAGTTCCTGATATCATCATCTGTCTTCCCAGGGAGAAAGATAAGACTTACAAAACTCAACCTGCCTTTCTGGGAACTATCTGGGTCAAACTAATTTCTATAATGCCACTTCTTAGAAGAATAACATAAAGCTAGAGGATTCAGTCCTTCCTTGGCATATGGACCAGTCTCACTGTAGAAAGTAAGAAAGATGACCTTGATGGAAGTATCCAAAGGTTGTTGCCCATGGAAAAAGGGCTGAAGTATTTTATAAGTGCAGGATGTCCAGATAACATTTGGAAGAGGATCAGACACCCACCTAATTCACTGAACTATAAGGAGGAGGAGAAGGTACAACACAATCAGACTTGCAGGATTCTGTCATTAGAAACAATCACAAAAGTAGATTTAGCTTCCTGTGTAGTTGTTGGGGCTGACCTCACAACAGATAAAACAAAACAAAAATAAAGATTAAAGATAAAAGGCATCTTTAAACTTCTGAATATTTTAAATTTTAAATTGCCAATTTTAATATGTTTCCCTGAAAGTTACATCTCACTGAATCATAACCACGTAAGTATGATTGTATCGTGTTTTGTGTTCAGGTATCATATGGTATCCAATTGTTCTCATCTTTTCTATAAATCTTGTAACTTTGGAAATAAATGATTTGGCGTATAAAATCATTATGCAAACTGAGCTGCTGCTTAACATTTAAGATAGAACTAGCAAGTGTGTAGCAAGTCTTTTATTCTCTTTCAAGAATAATAGACTAAATTCTAAGCTACTAACAGTCTTTTGGCTAGTTATTTTTTGTTCATTGAAAAATAGAATTGGAAGCTTTAATTGAGAATGAACAAGTAGATGGGCAATTTTCCTCCCTACAGCCCCCATCACCAGCTGTTTTTTATCTATAGGTTTAAAGGAATAGAGCGCGGAAGAAGTTTTCCAGTAGACAGATAGCAAGGTGCAGTATCCTTCCTAATCCCGCACAGTGGAATGGAGATAACAGTGCCTCTTGTAGCATATTGCTATAGATAATGATAGCACTGACTGACAGTGATATTATAGGAAATCCTATGGGTCTAAATATAACATAAAGAACTATGGTGATGGCTGTCCTTCCCTCTGCTTCCGCTTGGATCCAAAAAGGCAGAATATGGTGATATTAGCAAAAGGATTAAACATCCCTTCTCACCAATTCATCCTTCTGACAACGTCCAAGTGTTCTGATTTTTATTTGCTTAAAGTTACTTATGTATTGTTATGCTTAAATCAAGTAACTAATGATAGAAATCTAAAGCAAACAATACTGTATTCACCACTGGATGTCCTCCCGATCCCCCAAGAGGTCCTTGATTTCTTCTCTGCATTTCTGCTGATGTTCTGGATTCTTAGCCATTATATATAGTAGCCAAGAGAAGCCAGCAGCTGTGGTATCATGGCCTGCAAACATGAAAGTGTCCACTTCAGCATGGAGGTCTTCATCAGATAGTCCAGTTCCGTCTTCATACTGATAAACAGAGAAGAAGAATCAACAAGGACCACCTTCAATGAGCATTCATTTAAAGAATTTTTTTTAAAAAATGGAATTATTGACTTTACTTGTCAGAAGAATGAAAAGGTGATCACATAACCTGCAATTATCACAAATACATACTAGTTGCCAAGTGTCCAAATTTTGATCACATGATCATGGGGATTCTGCAACAGTTGTAAGGGTGAAAAATGATTGTCACTTTTTGCTGCTGTTTTTAACTTTGAATGATCACTAAACAAATGGTTGTTAAGTCGAGGACTACCTGTAATGGAAAGTGATTGGGGATAATTATTTTAAAAATGCGAGTCTCGGGTGTATACATAATAAAACTAAAAAGGCAGATCACCGAAACTAAATTTTTTATTTAAAACTTAGCTTTCGTCAGCAACTGCTGACGTTATCAAAGTATAAGCCAGGATTGGGGAGCTCGTTTTTATAGTTCCTGAGAAGCTAACCACTTAGGCATGAGAGTGAGGAGAATAGTCAAATGGAGACGTCAGACGATCATGCGCCTCAAGACAAACGCTCCCGGCAGGCGGGGCAAGTGAGGAGAGGCAGAACGGTAAAATTCAAACAGACATCAGCCGGCATGACAGAAACACAACTGATACAGCTGATTAGGGGAGGGCAGGGGCCAAACAGACCTGTAATGTGTTCATTGCCTAAACTGTTAGCTTCTCAGGAACTATAAAAATGAGCTCCCCAATCCTGGTTTATACTTTGATAATGTCAGCAATTGCTGATGAAAGCTATGTTTTAAATAAAAATTTTAGTCTCGGTGATCTGCCTTTTCAAGGCATATCTCCTCCCTTTTCTCCTCCCTCCCTGAAGAGCTGACAAAGTGAGAAAGAGCATGTGGCCTAGGGGTCAACACAGCTGCCTAACATGCAAGCAGCCCAGGTTCGAATCTCAGAAAGAACACGAACAGCAGGACAAAATTTAAACTAAAAACGTTTAATCCAATGCCAAGCTTTCGTCGGCCAACTGCCGACAGCATCAGGGCTTAAAACAGGTCGATGGGAGTCTCCTTTATAGTGTTAGTAAGTTTTTGCGCACAGCTCCTGGACCTCGTCACCGGTCCACTTAACAGTCTTAATTGGTTAAACTGTGTATTGGCTGTTTTCTTGATGTTATTTGGGGCTGCTGCTTCATTACTTGCTTCCCTTCCTCCACTCTCTTCCTCTGTGTGTGTGTTGTTATCTATCCCCCCACTGCAGGTTCCTAGGGTCCGCATATTCTTTCCCCCACTTTTTTGGCCGTTAGTTTCTTCTGTATCTATCCAGTTGTTCCCTCTCACCCTATTGGGCTGTGGGCTTGATGTTCTCCCCTCGTCTTTTCCTCCCGTCATTTTTCCCATTCGTCCATGGCCATGCCCTGCACCTGCAGTCTCCCCCCCCTCTTCTTCCTCTTTGATGTTCATTTCATTTGCATCACCCTGATCATCGCATTGCGACCCTCGTCTTGGTCCATTTCTTTCATCTAATGTGGATCGTACACGTTCTCTCCTCACAGGGGTATTACTGCATTGTGTGTTTGAGCCTAACACTACATAAGTAATTAGGACTGTTAAGTGGACTGGTGACAAGGTCCAGGAGCCGTGCGCAAAAACTTACTAACACTATAAAGGAGACTCCCATCGACCTGTTTTAAGCCCTGATGATGTCGGTAGTTGGCCGATGAAAGCTTGGCATTGGATTAAACGTTTTTAGTTTACATTTTTTCCTGGTGTTCGTTTTTAGTTTACATTTTTTCCTGGTGTTCGTGTTTATTTGTTTTTTATAGTATGGCTCAGGATTCGTGTTTTTAATGAAATTAGCAACCCGCCCTTATTGACAAACGAGTCCCTAACACAAAGAATGACACCAGACCCACACTCACAAAAGCCACACAGGATGTCACCACCACACGTCCATGCAAAAAGCAAACCCAAACCCACACCGATAATGAGGCACGACCACAAACCAGAAGCCAGACCACAGCTGCATCATTAGCCACTTTAAACCACTCCAATCCATACATGAAGCAAACTGACACCCACCATGAAGATGAGGCATGACCACGAACGCGAAGCCAAACAATAGCAATGCTCACCATCTCACATCCCCCTGCAACTCAAATTAACCTGAGCACAACAAAGCCCCCACCCAAACAGAACACTCCCCCAACCAATCAGAGCACAGCCAACCCTCCATCCAATCAGAGCACAGCCAAGCTCCTACCTCCATCCAATCAGAACACAGCCAAGCTCTCATCCAATCAGTTCATGCCCCCACTGGCAGTTAAAAGGAAGAAACAGCTACGATCACACATTGCTCCTAGAAGCACAAAGCCGAAAACACCAGCCTGAAGATGACGAATGAGACTTCGTCAAAACGTCGCCAAGCCACTTCCAATTTGACGTGGGAGAAAACCCAAATAACCAAAGACCTACATACAAACACCCGCGAAAACCTCAGAAAACAAATATATATATATATACATACACATATACATACATACATACATACATACATACATACATAGCAGAAAGAGGAAACTTAAGAGTTCACATGGTTGATACTATAATATGGAACAAAGCTGTTACTGAATCGAGATGTTCTGCTTCAGATACAAATACCCTAAAATTGGCTGACTTTATTTTGGCAAATGAAAGTGAAGTGTTCCAGGATAATGTTGCAGGATCCAATCTGGGCCAGTCACTAGGACCAGAGGTTTAGTCTTCTAAGCTTTTGGACTTGTGCTGGAACTCATCCTCAGGGGACTTTTCTCCAGCAGAGTACGTGATAAAAATCTTTATTTTACTTTCTTTCTCCCTGCCCTTTCCAAATAATACTACAAATACATCTGATTCTTTTAGTGCTATTTTTGCAAGACTTATGAGGTTTCACCACCTCACCTTCTATCTTCCCTTCTGTAATTGTAAATGATTATAGGATTTTTTTAATTAAAAAAAAACAGTACAGTTCAAAGACTCTTTATTCCCACCCTAGCCAATAAAGTGCCATAGATCGCATCCTCAGCGAAAAATATTGGTAAAAGGAAAACATTGTCTCTACAATAGGCTGGGAATGAGGCCAAGGCAACTGTCACATGGGCAGGTCCTTTAAAAACAATAATATGATTTCAGGGCAAGATGAGCAGGGCTTGAGAAATGAGCCCATAGCTATTTGCCTTTTACCCTGTTTAGCCAATTTCCAGTGTTACCTCATTAAAGGAAATGAGAATTATTTCTGTTTCCCATTGCATCTGCATGCTGTACGGCTTGAAACATGTTATAAAAGGAAAAACAGGGAAGCTTTCCCCTTTATAGCCTTGAACATTTTGTTCAATAATAGAAAAAAAAAATCAGAATTACCATATAGACTTTGTTCCTCTTAAGTGCTGCAGTAACAGATCAGATGAAATTTTCACTCCTCTGCAACTTTTAAGGAGAACATCAAATCCCTGACCTGGCAGCCCCATTTGTTCCATAATTTATTTGCACAAAAGCTCTGAATCAGCAACCATTTGATACAGAAAACTCCTATCTGAAGTGTACAAAATGCAAGCTATTTAAAATATAGGTTGCTGTAACTGTATTTTTCTATGGTACTGTTGACTTTCTCATCTTTCTCTCTCTCTCTCTCTCTTTTTTTTACAAACATTGCAAATAAGCCACTGATAAAGATTCAGATTAATTATCCCCAGTTTATTATAATACCTGTTCAGATCTACCAGTTTTTCATTAGCACATCAAATTTATGTCCAAGTTGTTCTACTTACCATTGTAAAAAAAAACCAATATTTCATTTTGTATTGCAATATCTTTCATAACAGTGTGAGTCAAGAGGCTGTTACAAAAAAACTTCCTATAGTTTCTTACTTTGGCACAGAGAAGAATGTCTAAAAAATCCAAATGTCGCTTCTTTTGGATCTTTTCAAGCTCTCTTTCATTATGTAGTGATTTCTTTCGCTCTTCAATTACTTTTTCTATGAAGTAATACAAGATGAGTTAAATGCCAGAAATGAGAAATTCACCATGTTTACCTCATTTTATCCCTTGACTTCAGAAAAAAAGGTTCTTATGTTGTCCTGAAAGATTAATTTTGTTCCTTTTATTACAAATAAAATTTGCAATATGCAAGCTAAGAGCTATTCAGAATAAAATCACTGAATATACCGAAATCCCTCATTAGGCTCCAAGAAAATTCAGCAAGGTCTTCCTGACGCTAGACAATTTTTACTAGTGCTGAATAGAGATTATTGTGTGTTGGCAGGTCAAGGATTTCACTAACATATCTTAAGACCCTAATGAGGCTTATCCCACTAATTAGCAGAATCAGAAGACATTGCTTATATTATAATAAGCCTCAGTGAAGTCTATGGGACTTGCTTCTAAGAAGACATGCAGAGGCTAGCACTGTGAAGTAAGTGAAAAATTAAAACATGCTGTTTTAAGCATCATATAGTAAACATTAACTTTTGAGTGAAGATTGAATGACTTCGCTGCCAAATAAAACAATGTTTTATTTGTTTCTACTTGTTATATAATAGCTCTTATATAATGGCATAAGAAGAAAGAGTTTCACTCCAAGTAGTTTCAATATGTTTGCTTTCAATTAATGAAACAGTCCACAAAAGTTGACCTTAGGCTACAGCCACTCCTCCTCCATCTTCATATGTCCTGGCAACCCAAGATTACGCTCACAGTAATTTTATCTTAATCTTACCAAAGAACACAAGATTACCTGTATGATGGTGTGCCAATTTACAAGCCTGGTTAAATTTTTTTCCTGACGGGGTACATGAATATAGGAAATCACTCAAAAGTATAGTGGAGGTAATTCTCCGAAATGACAGAAGAGTTAAGTCAGACACAGCTTGGACATAATAATCTAGATCTCTGATGGAGGAAAAAAATGATTCTTTTCTTACAAAAATATTATTTTTTACAAATATGATCAACGTTATCCAATACTCATGTTATTAGAATGTATTATTATAAAAGTTTTAACCTGTCAGTTTGGCAATTGCTCTTCTGACTGAATGCACATTTCATGATGCTGTCAAGAGTCATTAAACTAACATGGTCAAACATCTCCAAAGACTTTGTGGGCTCCTTTGCAATCAGTTTCTCCCATTTATCCTAGTGTGGAAAATAGAGATGAAACAGTGTAAGCTGTTTATAGGGTTCCTATGCCATGTGCCATTTTGGTGAACTGCAGTCCAATATATCACTGAGTTCATCTCAGCTTCAGATAACTACATAGATATGACCATATTATTTACTTAGCAACAACATAGATTTCCCATTCTCATTTTCCGGAATTGCTCTGGAATAGTTTATATGTAGTCCTTGACTTACAGCTACAAACTGAGCCCAAATTTTCTGTTGCTAAGTGAGACAGTGGTTACATGAGTTTTGCCTCATTTTACAACCTTTTTTGCCACAGTTGTTAAGTAGATGACTGCAGTTGTTAAGTTAGTAACGTGACTGTTAAGTGAATCTGGCTTCCCCATGGAAACTTTGCTTGGCAAAAGGTCACAAAAGGTGAACCCCAGGACGCTGCAACCAACATAAATATGAGTCAGTTGCCAAGCATCTGAATTTTGATCACCTGACCGTGGGAAGCTGCAGTGGTCATAAGTGTGAAAAACTGTCATAAGTCACTTTTTTCAGTGCTGTTGTAACTTTGAACGGTGTCTAAATGAAGTGTTGTAAGTCAAGGACTACCTTTACAATCCTGAAAATTCTGAAGGTCTCTTATCCGAGAGCTATCTAGGAATGGTCCTGCTCAGTTTATGATGGTTCCTTTTGCATCTGCTTGTACAGCCTGAGAGAAAAAAAACTTTCCTTACCAGCATAACTTTGGTGGAATCTGCAATTAATGCCACATAAGGCTTCAAAATATTATAGTGAAAAGCTGGTGTTAACAATCGCCTGTGCTGGTGCCATTTTGTGTCAGCTAAGACAAGCAGTCCATTTCCTATAGATACAAAAAGAAAAAGATAAATTACATTGAATTAAGTGGTAGTGGCGGTGATGGTGATAATGATATTATTCCATCTGTTCTGACTGAGCTAAGAGATTGTTTGCATTCAAAATAGATAGGCAGTTTATCCCAGGCTTGAGATATTTGAAAGTGCTAAGACAGAGTCAATGTACCTGCCACGTCCAGGCCCATCTTTCAAAATCCCATGAAACAAATCTCATCAGAAATGACAGCAGGGTTTTAAAAATGGGTCTGCACCAATCAAAATTGCATCTTTTGATATTCATTTGACAGTGATGACCATATTTCATCCACAGAGCTCAAGGACTGTTGCATATCATTTCAAATTGCCTTAGAATTCCTGACAGGAATATGATTTCTTTATCTCTCCTTTGCTTATTCATCAGGAACATAGATAAAATTTACCTTTTCATCTCCCTGTAGCTTTTCATCCATTCTTTGAATTTTAGGGAAATCAAATATTGAAGGTTATTCTATACTCTGTTGTTTTTCTTCCTAGTGTTGCCCCACTTGCAGGGTCTGCTTGTTTTGTGTTACCCTCACTGCAGTTCTTTTAACAAAACTATCACTACATAATGTGAGAAGGTTTTTGAAGAGTCTGATACTGATTTGGGCTGAGAAGGTATGACTTGACTGGTTTTAGTCCTCCATTAGGCACAGAAGCCATTGGATGACCTGGGACAAGCCTCTTCAATGCATCATTTAATTGATTAAAGTGTAGATGTGATTAGCAGACTCTTATGATCAAATTGAATTTCTTGTAAATTAAATCAGGCCTTCTCAATTTGATAACTTTCAGATGCGGTTTTTGAATATAGTTCCAGATTTTGGTCCCATTATATACAATTAGCCTGCAGAAGACTGGAGAAGATCAAATTAACATGGGAAAGCTACACTACTACAAACAACATAGTAAAATTGTCAGTTTAACTATATTTTGGAAAAAAAGGGGGAGGACAAATAGAAAAAATATTTATAATTGATTTTAATTTTTACACATACCAATCCAAGGAATCAAAGATGCATAGATGAATTCAGGCTTTGGATCTAGGAAATTCAAAGAAGATCAGAACAAAGTTATAATACAATGCTTAACATATACTGAAACAATTAACTTATTTGGCATAGATAAAGTTCACATCGGAAGTATGCTGCATTTTTCTTTCATTGAACAAATATGAGAGAATCAATAACTCTGATATATACTTACACACCTGTGGCTCAGAGTTACTGAGGCACAGATGTATATACAGCTTACATATGACAACCAAATTAATTTACATGAAAATTAGTGGCTATCAAAGTTCATGACAAAAATAATGGGCCACTCTTTTTTGGCTGTTGCTACAAAAATCTTAAATCTATCATTTTGTGCTTTGTAAAACATTTCCATAGTATATAGTAAGAATATCAACTTCAGTTCAGCTATTAAAGTTCAATCCATTCAACCTCTTAAAAATTAGAGCAGGTCAAAAGAGTTGTTTACAGTGCTTTGCTGTGGGAAAATGAAGTGGCTGTGCATACTTCCATATGTAGGAGGACTGCCAGGAATAGCCAAGTAGTCAATTTTCTAGTGAAAATCTCTATATACATATAACTTGCATGGGAAATAGTCATTGTCCTAACCAACATGGACTGACCTCCTCTGGCAAACAAAGTTTTGGCATATTCTGGGTGAGCAACAATTACAGCAGAAAAAAAGCTCCCGAACCATATGGGAAAAGCATAAGAATATTGTTGAGACCACTCCAACAAATATTGTAGTTCTTTCTGGGTAGGTATCTGCAAAAAAGAAAAAAGAAAGAAAAAAGGAAAGAAAGAAAAGGAAAAAAAGAAGAAAAAAAGAAAGGAAAGGAAAAAAGAAAATTATGTTTACACTGTAGTTGCAAAATTGTGTCTTTAAACCCTGGCACTCTTCAGAGTCAGAATATTAATCCACTTAAATCATCCTGAGTAATGTAAACAAAGATAAGAATGTGTAAAAGACACTCATGATACAATGCATACTTGAGAAAATATAGTATATTCCCTGAATTAGAGAGATCAGCAACTAGATAAATTTGATATAAATAAATAACTTAGCCACTCTTTAGATTACTTTGTGGAACACAGACATCAGAATGAAGTTATTCATCTGACAGAAACAGAGCTACAATCAATGATTTAAGAATATTCAATATTATTAAAGGGACAATTACAATCTTCAAATGATTTCAAGATATGCTAGCGATTAAACTGTGTCAGAAATTCACTGTCTTCTTCTGCCCCATCACCTCCCCATATATTTTACCACTTCTTACCAGATGGATGTTGCCATACAGCCAGTGAGTAGGAGGGCCTGGGAAATTCTTATAAGCCTTAATCTGCTTTTGTCTCAAGTGATACAGTTGGATGATTTTAACCAGGACATAAGCAAGACAGAAAGCAGAACCAATGAGTGTGAGCTGGTAGAAACTTGGTGTTTTCTCCATCATGAATACCATGAGGCTGAAGCCTCTGCAATGGTGTTACTTCACTGGCTGGGTTTTATAAAAGTATGAGTGTCATCACCAATAAAATGCAAAATGGGCGTTCCTCAACTGAGTCTTTTGTCGTACCTTGGCCACTTCCACCCGAACTTTCTCAACATTTCATCATATGCTTGGGAATGAAGGTAAAATTTTCAAACTTATAATCTCATCTAACCTTTGCTTTAGAAGTCATTATGAATAAGTATCAGCATATTTCTCCTTCTTTCATCAGTAAATTCAGATGACCTTTTGTAAGATGAATCACACTCTTGGACAGGTTTGTCCAACTTTGCCAACTTAAGATCTGATGACTTCAACTCCCAGAATTCGGCAGCCAGCATAGCTATCTGAAGAATTCTGGGAGTTGAAGTCTACAAGTCTTAAAATTGCCATGGTTGGACACCCCTGATCTAGGAGATCATAGTTATGGCTTTACCTACGCATGAGTTAAGATACTTGATGGACATTTACTGTAATTGCTTGAAAAAGTTTTATTTTAACTCTGGGTTTTTTCCTCCCTGAGATTTAAATGTAGGCTTGGCATCTAACAGGGAGGTGTTTGTGGAAGCAACTGATTTTTGCCAAGGCTGTATCTTTGAGTGCTCATACATGCTTATCAAAACATGATAAGCAGAAAGCATAATAAGCAAAAAAAAAAAAAGTGGATGTCTTTGCTACTCGTACCGTTCTGAACCATTCGGGAAGTTAAAGACGAGCAACAAATAAATTTGATAGATAGATAGATAGATAGATAGATAGATAGATAGATAGATAGATGACAGACAGATAGACAAATAAATAAATAAATAAATAAATAAATCTTTCAGACTTTGAACACGTCTCTCCAATTCTTTTGCAATAGTGAACTGAGGAACAGCAACCATTCATCATGAAGATAATTCAGTGCACTTACAGGGAAAACCTGTTTTTCTAATTCCCTCCTCCTTCAGGTTCTTTGCTAGCTGTGGTCAATAAATGTAAGCCATTCTGGCAAAACTGTTGCCTGCTCATCCAAATTTGGACATTACAGAGCAGGTAAGGAAAGGGGGGGAGCTGATCTCTTGTGGAAGGGAAGGTAATAGGGCAACCTAAATTCCATTGACATCTCCATATTTCATTACCACACTGAATTGTTAATGTAATAGAAGAGGGAAAACATGAAATAACTGAATATAGATGTAAAATTACATTTTAATCCAATGTTAAAATTATTAACCAAATGAAATCAATATTAATTTGTATACTGGCATGCTGCTGAAAAATAAATTATGGCCCTCAGGCTTTCAAATTATGATTATATAACTACCTTTTGTAAATGGATAGAATGCTGAGAATGTCTAAAAAGGAGTCAAGGTAGTTATTCTTTCTAAATATAGCTCTAGAATAACTTTTCCATTAGCCATTTTTTGTTTCTCTGCTTCTCCAAATTTTAGGAGGTTGCTAAGTGCTTGGACAAAATTTAAAAAATGGGGTTCCTTTACAGTTCTAAACTGTAATCTTCAAGAAAGTGTGTATTTAATTGAGATTAAATGGTAGGATTTGAAGTTTCTTTTAAGTTTCTTTTTATTCACATCAGTGCAAATATATATTGTCACTGAACAACATAATGACTACTATACTGTAATTATATATTCTTGTGAGACAACTTTAGTCCACTTGATAGCAGCAGAAAAAGTGTTTCTTTTTTAAAAGTTTACCTTTCTCAAATATTAAGTTAAGAGAGCTTTCCTAAAACACCTCAAAATAACTGTCCCAAAAGTGTTTTCTTTCAAAAGACATTTCGCTTCTTGTCCAAGAAGATGATGGAGAATGGAAAGATGTATATTCCTTGCAGTCATCTGGTTATTAGCCTCTTTCTGAGAGTCACTGAGGCCACTTGGAGATTTAGCTGTGCTCTCAGGATCACCTGAATAGTGCAAATGGGTGTAGAACCTTCTTGGAACTGCTGAAAGGACTGTGTTGTAAAAAAGGAGATAGAGGGTGTCATATTCCTTGCCTTCCCCCCCCCATTGAGACAGGGATGTTCAATCTTAATGTAGATGGCCCCTTTGGCCCCTCTTTCAGATCCCTATCTCCTGTTTACAACACAGTCTTTTCAGCAGTTCCACGAAGGTTCCACATCCATTTGCACCATTCAGGTGATCCTGAGGTATACCACAGCTGATATGCAGATATGACCTTTTATTTATTTTTCTTTTAAAAATGTAGAATTCATCTTTTAGGGTTAACTTGCTCAAATGATGTATGATTTTAACTAATCGTTTGAAATTATTGTTTTTCATGATTTTTTTTCTTAACATGTTCCGGTTTTTGAAGCATGTACAAATTCCAAGGTTCATAAGACAACTGTACTGAGTAATACTTGCTGACAATTGCTGGTTTAGCAGACATATTTTAAAGCCCTAAACAGCTTACAGCTTGATTGTTTAAGGGACTGCCTCGTTTTTTTAAAAAAAATCTTCAAAGAGGAATTCCTAATTTGGGAGATGTTGAAAACAGTCATTTCCCCCCCTCATGTGAATATTAGCTAATGTGAATGTATATGAAAACAGCAACATGTTTGTCTACTTATGCATGCAACAGAAACTGTTTTCAACTTATATATTAAAAGTAGCTCCAAGGATAGAACTTGTATTTTTACAGACTTGTTAACTTGTGTAATATTTAACTTATGTAAGTTTCATGCCACATTAATTAAAACTGTAAATAACAGAACAACAACTTTTAAAACAAAATGCGATATTTTCAGGGGAACTCTTACTTCACCCAAAGAAAAATTGTGGCACTTCACTTTGAATTTTTGTGATATGTATCAATGTTTGATTAGAGGATTATTATTTACTTATTGTTTACAGGCTAAATAACCTCAAATCATGTAACACATATAAAGATTTGCATGGATGGCAAAATATATGGGGTCATGTCTTGGATTAGAAAACTGAATCTGTTTTCTATTTATTTATTTATAAAATTTATAGGCCACCCATCTTATCTCATGGTAACTCTATCTACAGTAGAACCTTACCCTGCACCAACACTCATCCTTGATACAGCAAAATTAATAATAGGAATTGAATTAAATCTCTAGCAGATCACCAATTAGCAGACCTCAGATACAAGGCACCAAATTTCTGTTTGGTATTCCTCCCCCCAAAATAGAGGGAAGTTCCTTTGCATCTTAAGTAATCCAGAGAGGTATGATAATTAGCAATGATTTATGTCATTGGATGCAAATTATGTCAATAGTCATTTGTAGAATGATGTCATTATACAGATAATGCACAATACAGAAATGACCTCATATATCAAGTGGATACCTAGATATAAGGGACACTGCCTCTTCGCCCAGCTGGTCAGCTTAATCAAGATTCCATTATCCTATGCAGTGAAGAACCTGAAAATCAGATGAGAACTGCAATCATCCCTGTCTACAATGAATGAATGTTTGTGCCATTACAATAAAGAATTCTACATCCATTCTACTTTTTAACAATATTTTCCTAAATACACAATCCTTTTGCCTCAGGTGCATTTTCTCTTTTAAAAAATATGTTTCTGTTAGTGTATGGCAGTACCTTGCATGTACTTTCAGATAAGTGGGATGTGAACAACAGTATGTTGGCTTACAAGGCTGTTTACAGATCTTAGCTTGCATAGAATAGCATGACCACAATATTGATTCTGGTTGGCTTGGGCTTTTGACACACCAGCCAAAATGTGCCAAAACTGATCGTTATTGCTTTTACTATTAGCAGAGGATGTTTGCCATGGGTAGAACTAAGATTTGTCACCTAGTTTACACTTTCTCTTACTGAAAAGCATTGTGAAAACCTTGATTAATTAAAGTCATGACAGACATCAGAAGTCAATATCTGTAGGACTGTTTGTTGACAACCTTGGCAATGAAAGATTGCAACTTAGAATGTAAGAGGAGTAATGATGAATTTATATTAATTGATGCAATGAAATTAAGAAAAATGTGATGAAAGAGACATGTAATAGAAATAGGTTATGAATCAGTATAAATGAAGTGCTTAGCCAATGATTCAACATAGAGCAAGAGAGTAAAAGAAGGATTTGGAAATTCCCTTACTAGTTTAACAAATTTATGAATAAATCTATATAGAACTTGGTAGTATAATTATTTGCAATGCATGTTTTTATGTTATATGAGTCATTATGCATTTAAAGATAATGTACTAAACACCAAAGTAGTTATGCTTAACAGAGAAAATTGAATGAAAAAGTGGGTATACATAACTATTGAAAAGGTAAAAGAAGTCAATAATTTTGTGTATCCTATTAGAACATTTACTAAAGATAGGAAAACTGATAGAGAATTTTTCAGAGGTGCAAATGCTGATAAAAAGACAGTGGCTATGTGGTCTGTTGTGAAGAGTTACATGTTCATGAAATAACCAAAAAATGGTTATGGGTAAACCATATCAAAATGAAAGTAGGTACTGTGCTCCTGAATTGAGGAATATAATGGGAACACGATACTTAAATAGTGGGTATATTAAAACAAGAAGAAGCAACAGGGTAAAAAATGGAATGGATCCTGCATAAATATGGATTTAATTCAAAAATAAATGAACAGTACAAAGCAAGTATATTATTATTCAGTATATAGTCACACAGATAATATCGAACTGTGAAGCAAGTGTATGAAGAAATAGCAAATGGGTCAAAAGAAAGGGAAAAGTAAGAAAAATATAATTCGGTGTAGTGAATGAAATACCCTCAAAAGACAGAGGTGATAAGTTGAAAGAGCAAAAGATAGTACACGAATGCAGTGGAAGTAGTGGTTATATGCTTCAGTTTATGGTTTGGAAAGAATCAGTGTCTTTAAGCAACTAGGTAAAAGATTTACAGAATTAGTTTGGAATCATAGAGCCGAGGTGGCGCAGCAGTTAGAGTGCAGTACTGCAGGCCACTTTAGCTGACTGTGTTCAGCAGGTCAGCGGTTCAAATCTCACCGGCTCAAGGTTGACTCAGCCTTCCATCCTTCCGGGGTAGGTAAAATGAGGACCCAGATTGTTGGGGGCAATGTAAATATATATATACATTGCTTACTGGTGTACACCGCTTAGAGAGTGCTTGCACTTAAAGCGGTATATAAGTCTCATAAATAAATAAATAAATAAATCATAATCATAATCATAAAAGTTGTAAGGGACTTGGAGGTCATCTAGCCCAACCCCCTGCTCAGGCAGGAAACCCTATACCATTTCAGACAAATGGCTATCCAATCTCTTCTTAAAAACTTCCAGTGTTGGAGCATTCACAGCTTCTAGAGGCAGGTTGTTCCACTGATTAATTGTTCTAACTGTCATGAAGTTTCTCCTTCTTCTTCTAGGTTGCTTCTCTCTTTGGTTAGTTTCCATACGTTGCTTCTTTTTTTTTTTTTTACAAATTTTATTTATAATACATTTAAAAACAAACAAACATTGGATTTAACGTGACATTCCAGTATATGCATTCTTATCAGATTATTCCAGTTTTTACAATCAATTCTTCATCTCTACATATACATCTAAGTTTTATATACAATACTTGTTCTAAAATAACATATATTTCTATCTTAACATTAATCTTTAATCCCGACCGTCCTCTTCAAATTCCTCCAGCGGTAAAATTTATCCCGGGTTTCATAATAAACTGATCCACATTTGTCTTTTAATATCATTGTGAGCCTGTCCATTTCCGCACATGCTAATATTTTATGTATTAACTCTTCCTCTGTGGAATTTCCTTGCTCTTCCATTTTTGCACTAAAGCAAGCCTAGCTGCAATCAGGATGTGTAGCAGCAGGTAGATTGTTCCCTTGTATTTTTCTGTCATTATTCCCAAAAAGAAGAGTTCAGGTTTTAACTCTAAGCCCAGTGTTAATATATCCCTCAACCAGTTTCGTGTCCTGTTCTAATACTCACGAGTCTTTGGACATTCCCACCACATATGGTAGTATGAACCTATTGCTGTTTTACATTTCCAGCATAGGGGTGAGATGTTTGAACCCATTTTGGCTAGCCTTGTGGGTGGGAAATGTCATCTACAAAACATCTTGTAAAGATTTTCCTTATATGAGGTAGCTAAAGTGAGTTTCCTATTCCTTTCCCACAGTTCTTGCCAAATATGTAGGTCAATACTGAAACCAAAATCCCTACTCCAAATTAACATGGTCTCCTTAACCTGTTCTTCATACGTTGCTTCTTGTCCTGCCTTCAGGCACTTTGGAGAATAGCTTGACTCCCTCTTCTTTGGAATACTGCTATTATATCACCCCGTCCTTCTCTTCATTAAACTAGACATTCCCAGTTCCATCAACTGTTCCTTATTTGTTTTAGCCTTCAGCCCCCTAATCATCTTTGTTGCTCTTCTCCGTACTCTTTCTAGAGTCTCAACATCTTTTTTACATTGTGGTGACCAAAACTGGATGCAGTATTCCAAGTGTGGCCTTACCAAGGCATTGCAGAGTGCTATTAACACTTCACGTGATCTTGATTCTATCCCTCTGTTAATGCAGCCTAGCACTGTGTTGGCTTTTTTGGCAGCTGCAGCACATATAAATGCTCCCCAAAAAATCCAATTAATGAATTAATAATCCCTAAAAGGAATGGAAGCTGTCTGCAAAAATAAGACACATACAAGAAATGTAGACTTTGAGAAGACCAACGAGAGACATATTGATACATGCTTACAAGAACTGGTTCACATACAGTAGAAATGAAAACGAAGACTCTTTTGGTTCGAAACAGATGATGGCTATTTAAAAAGATGAGAAATAATGAAATGTTCTAGATCAGAAGTCCCCCACCCCTGGCTGCAGCCCCCTACCAGGCCATAGCCTATTTGGAACTGGGCCATGTGAGAAATGGGCCAGTGTGTACTGGCAGCTCCACTTGCATGAGTAGCATCCCAAAGGCTTATCTTTTGCATGAGTGGAGCTGTGCACATGTGTGCGGCCGGGTTCCCCTCTCCCCCCCCCCTCCGCCGGGCTGCCAAGCTGCCTGCTCCCGATGCTCCAAAAGCAGAGCAATGAGAGCAGAGGCTGAGTGGGTCAAGCCTACCCTGCTCAGCTGCGCTGACTGACTGAGGCTGCCTGCACAGGACACCTGATCCACTTTTGGAGTGAAGGAGCACAAGACTGTGCCCCCAAAGGCTTCTCCATGCCAAAAGCTTTTGCAAAGGGACAAAAAGCTTCAGGGAAGCAACCTCACGCTGATTTAGGACTTCTGCCCCTTTGCAAAAGCTTTTGGCATGGAGAAGCCTGAAGGAGCATGAAACCATGCCCTAAAGGCTTCTCTTCTCACTTGTGTGAATGGAGCTGCATGTGCTCACGAGCGCCAGCCCACCACTGGCATTCCCCGTTCCTCTCCCTCCCAGCCGGGCCACCAAGCTGCAAAGATTGGGGACCTCTAGTCTAGATTGTAAGGGATATAATGGCAATGTAAGTGAATAGTAAGGTAAGGAAAAAGTAAGATAAAAAATTATAAATAAAGAGACTGAATTTTCAGTCATTCTAACAGGTTGCTGATTCCTGGTGATTCTATCTACTAATAGAGGATTCCGTGGCTATTGGATCCCTGAAGGAAATTCTCTTTGGATGAAATTGCAACCGCTTTTGTCTAAGAACCAGAAGGTTTTAAGATTTAAGTGTCTGTTAATTGAATATTTACAGTCGTGGTCATGAATAGGACCATCAAGCAAAGATTAGAAAGGGGTAGAATGAATACAGAATATATCCTGCACTTGGAGCTGAAAAGCAGGGATTGGTTTCTGCTAGTGTTCTAATATCCATGTAGATCCCAAAAATCTATTTTTGATTCATCTACCCATAGAATGTTCTTTCAGAAGTCTGAAAAATCATTCAATTTTTTTGTTACTTTCACAAACTTGAGATGAGCAACATCTGTAGATCACCAGGAATATTGAGCTATATGGGGTTTTTTGAGTGGGGGGGGGGTGTTTGTAGTTCCTGCTTCATTTTTTCTGCTGCACAGGATAGGTGCTCTTTGAAATATTTGGATTTTTCCCCAATCTTGTTTTTTTTATGACCATGTCCTTGACTCTGGGGCTGGTGGCTCACCAGGATTTTATAAATGGTTTTGACATCAATAACCTTTTTATTCAAGGACTTCAGACATTTTTTTTAAAAAAGGGTGAGCATGTGCTTAATTCTATTGCAGTGTTTTTCAAACTGGGCAGCTTTAAGATAAGTAGACTTCAACTTCCAGAATTCCTCAGCCAGCAATCTTTAAATCTATTTAAGAAAAGGAGGTTATTTTTAAGCTATTTTAAGTACTATAACCTGGAAAGGAATATATGACCATCTTAGGCATAAAAGTGCCAAGGCAAACATACAGCAATTGCACATATCTTAAGCAACTAATGCACCATTCATTTAGAACATGAGTTTGAATGTGTACAAATGGGTGCTGTGCTCTAATAGTTTCCCCAAATCTACGTTCTACTTTAAAAGTGAGCAAAATAAAGAGTAAACAGTTTAAGGTTTGCATCAGTAGATGCATTCACTACTGAACACATGAGACGTTACTTCTCAAGCTCCCAATATCTATGCTTGTAAAATTTATTTATACATATTTATTTGTACATCAAAGTTAGAGACTATCTCTCATCTCTCTCACAGAGAGACTCTGGGTAGTGTACAATTAAAATATAGGCACTGAGTGGAACACACTAAGAGTTCCTGAGCAGGAATGCACTAAGCCAACAACCAGCCAACTAAAGGATTGCCTAAGAAGTTGTGAGAACTCCTCCATGTGAACAATTTTTGGGTCAAGTTATTGTGCAAAACCAGAAAACTAGGTTAACTGAATATAGATAGTCCTCGACTTAAAATCTTTCATTCAGTGATCATTTGAAGTTACAACAGCATGGAAAAAAGTGATTTATGACTGCTTTGCACACTTATGACTGTTGCCCCATGGTCATGTGATCAAAATTCAGACGCTTGGCAATTGGCTAATATTTGTGACGGTTTCAGTGTCCTGGGGTCACTGCTACCTTCTGACAAGCAAAGTCAAAGGGGGAAGCCAGATTCACTTAACAACCATGTTACTAACTTAACTGCAGTAATTCACTTAACAACTGTAAAAAACAGTCATAACATAAAGTCAGTTAACAACTGTCTTGTTTAGCAATATAATTTTTGGGCTTAATTTTGGTCCGTACACCATGACTACTTTAATCATGGCAGGACAGTTCAAATTTCTCTTTGCGTGAAAATTTAATTCTCTCAGTTCTATTTTTTTTATGAGCAGGCAGACTAACATGTGCTAAAGAGATAAAGACAGATAAATGCATATGCAAACACCTGGTCTGATCTTGAGTGCTGGAAAGTATAAGCACTATCCTATCTAGGCTGCCAAATTCCAGTTGGCCACTAGATGGCAGTAAAAGAATCTAGTCTTCCCTGATCTCTAATAGTCACCTCCATTTGGCATCTCAGATGTGGAAGTTTTGTGTCAATGCTCTAAATTCTTTCACTGACTTTATCAATTACAGTTACTGTTGTGCATTAAAGAGCAAATGAATCTTCTGATTTTGAAGGATAATTTATATTTCAGATAGTTTTAGTGAACTTTAGTATGGTAAGTAAGCA